CCTCTCTACTGGAGGACCTAGACAAATTCGGAAGCTGACTCCCAGGTACCTCCAAGGTGGTCTGCCGCGTGCCGGAGACTTTATCCCTGGGCACCTGGCAGGCGAGCGGTTTTTTTAGCGCGTCCGGTTGGGTCTGCCCGGACCGAGTCTCCAACTACCCAGAAAAAGGGAAATCACCCACCTGAGTTGTTGGGCAATAACCCATGAGTGTTTTTTTTGGGGATACCCCCTTTTTTTTGGTGGTGTTTTGCAAAGACCAAAAGGAAAACAGCCATGTTAGGGGGTTCAACCTTGAAAAAGGACCCCATGACACCCCACTTCCATTTAAGTTTCAGAAGATCGTGTTATTTTCTCCTGGCTTTAAAGTGAGTCTATCACTAACAAACACAAATATATAGTTTCAGGGGACTTGTGAAAGTGGACGTCAACCAGGGTGTAGTTTACTCAAGTCTGGTAGGTCCAACCTAAAGCCATAGAAGAGTCGGGTGTTCTCTGCTTGATCCCTTTGATTGAGCGTGTCATTTTCGCATGTTGGAGACTTATATCAAACGAGCTACGGTCAAACAATATATATGGTTGCGGTTTCCAATTGTTGTCTCTTTCAACACCAACCACATAATGAACAACTTGACTGATTTGAGGAAACTGTTTGCCTAGTTTGGGCGGGGTCACTTGCGGGTAAAACGACCTACATCAGAGTCCTTATTTGGGGGTCCAATTCTTGTATCAGGATTTTGGTAGCTATTTACAAAACTGTTGCTCTTGCTGAGTGTGTGTGTGTGTGTGTGTCTGTGTGTCTGTGTGTCTGTGTGTCTGTGTGTCTGTGTGTCTGTGTGTCTGTGTGTCTGTGTGTCTGTGTGTCCGTGTGTCCGTGTGTCTGTGTGTGTCTGTGTCTGTCTCTGTGTCTGTGTCTGTGTCTGTGTGTCTGTCTGTCTGTGTCTGTGTCTGTGTCTGTTCCCTTGTGAGTTTGATTCATTGCCGCCAATGTGTGCAACACATGATATACACACTTGTGGATGAACGAAATCCTGCACCTACAAAAATAATTTCCGAACACCATTGTCTGTGGTATTTCCAGGGCAATCATCATTCCAGGATTTCTCACGCAGTGCAGGATTTCGTCCATCCACAGTAGTCAGCGACGAGCATTTGAAGAGGACACTGATATACGCATGGCTTGCGTTGAGCCGTCAAGCTGTTTTTTGAGGAGCCTCTTTTTCAGGTAACCCGAGAGATTGGTGGTGTCGCTTGAAAATTGAAATCTTGGTTCTTGTAGAGGGTAACTGGGAAGTTCTCCCAAACTTCTGGTGGGTGACTTTCCCGGTTTCTTCCCCTCAGGGTAGCTCTTTGGGGTCCACTCCGAGGTGATTTCCCGTGGGCAGTTCTTTGGGGACCACTCCGGAGGTGGGGATCCTGAACTACGACGCCCCCTTCGCTCTGGCGCAGAACTTCGTGCCCTTTCAGGCCGGATCAGAATCGGATTCGATCGGCTTCGCTCGCGGCTCGCGGCATCGGGCCTTCCGTGGTGGGGATCGAGTGATGGGTGTGGCCTTCAGGTGCTGAAGAGCGACCCTTGGGAAGTTGTCTGTCTTGGCCTGGACTTTCGTCTCACTTCCAGCGGTCCTGGACTTTAGGATCACTTTACGGGCAGCGGCTTGGACCATGTTGGCAATCAAAAACTTTGGACTTGTTTTGGCCAACTCAGGAAGGGAGTAGTTCAGATGCTAAACATCAGGTTATATAGTTTGGGTAGAAATCGATTGCACTGGTTCAAGTTGGTTTTGTCTAAATTTACCTGGGCCATTTGTTTGTCCAAGAGGTTACCCTTTTGTTCCATCCCCAAAGCCTTAACCGATTCTTTATTAAGAACACGCAAGTTGCTTGTTGTTATTACCCTTCCAATTGACATGGAACTGTTCGACGTTCGGGTCCTGGGTTGGACCATTTTCCTTTTGAAGGGACTGGGCCCCTGTCAGGTTCCATGTTTGTTGGTTCGAGGGTAACACAATTTTATTGCCAGTCAAGTGGGCTGCCCCTGAAATGATAAGCCTTAGGTAGGTTTTGGTTTGACACCAGCGCAAAAGGAGCAGGATCCCAAAGTAGCAACGGTTTCCTAATCTGTTTTGTCTTTACATGGTGGCTGTGCTTGTTTCTCATGAGGAAGCCTTTGGTTTTAAAGGGGAAGCCTGAAGAGAAGTGCCTCGACCCAGCCCTTTTACTTGTCATCCGTGTTGAGAACCAGCAGTCTTCGATTGCCGCCATCGCATGCTTTACGCACCAGGGATGCGATAATGTTAACCCCGGATTAATAACCCCCTGGTGAATAGGGGGTGTCAGTTTGAGTGGGGATTCATCACTTTTGGAGGGAACTCCCCCCGAAGAATGGGACGGGTTTATTAATCCTGGGTCAACATTATAGCGCATCAATGGTTCCGGCAGGAAACAAACATAACCGCATTGAGACGCCTCATGAGATCTTCGCTGAGACTCCTATTGTTTCCCATCTCGGGGTTCTCGTTTCGAGATGCACTCGTTTGATCTCACACACTAGCTGTATGGACCTAAACCCCAGCTCTGGGAAACTATTTACCTGGACCCTCAACCGTAAAAATGGGTTGTTGCCCCAACCGAATGTGGTGTTTTGTTCTTTTTTAAGGGTAGTTTGAGGGTCCAGGAAATCAGGTACGATCAACGCTCGCATGGCAAACTGCTTTCTTGGGCACTGGTCATGTGAGAGCGCCGTTCTTCTTTTGGCGCCCCTTTAACATCGTCTCTCACGCTGTTGCAAGAACCCCCTTCAAACGGGCACTTAAAGGGAAGCCCTCCCAAAGAATTCCCGAAGCCTTTTTTTTTCCGATCAGGTGAATGCAACTCCAGAGCTCGCGAGGGGGGGGGGGGGCAGCGTTTCTTCTGAGCGTTTCTTCCGTGGATGCCATGGTAAGAAGACCTTTACTTTGAGATGGTGGGGTGGACGTCAATTTGGTAAGGATTCTAACCACTGCAATGATTGCTATCAAAGGGACCATGAGCCACAGGCCATGTAAGGAGTTTTGAAGAAGATGTGAGTATGAGTAAAAATTACACCACTACAATACAGCAGGTTTTGGTCAATGTTTCCACTTACCAGGGCAAGCCATTTTGGGTACCGATTAGCCATGGGTCAAAATCCAAATCACACCCCCAGTGAACATCCCAATCCAACCACTAAAATAGGTTCTAAAATGGGTGGTGCACCTTCCCCAAAATATTACCAAAACGGTTTTGACCACCACAGCCATGTCTTGGTCGTGGGCCGGGGCGGGGCACCTCTGAGATGGCGCGCGAGGTCCTGCAGAAGGCAGTGGTGGGCAGTGTGTCGCCCAATGTGACAGCGCTGGGCAGCAACACTCCGCTGGTCTTGCGCCGGCCTGAGGCGACAAGAGCTACCACTACCAGGCTACTGCAGACAAATGAGGGTCATTGCCGAATTTTCTGTCTTTTTTTGAAGTGTTCACTAGGTTTTTTGAGTAGTGCCCTTTTCCTCCTTTTTTTTTTTCTGGGGGAAGGCTCCCCTGCTAAGATTGACTATAGGACAAAAGGGTACCCTTATTCTAGCCTCTCCACTGGAGGACCTTGTCCAGGTCCTGGATTCCCACAGTAGGTGAATGCACCCCCCCAATGACTGAAAACCCGCGCTCGGACAGATCCGCTTGTCTTTCTCGCGGGTGTTTGCTGCATTTTTCTGGCACACCTCTTCGCACAGCAACCTCAAGGTTTCTTTCCTTGGCGGTCACCAGCCCGTCCGGTTCCTTGGGTTTGCCTTGTTTTTGGTTGGCTTAGTGGTTGAGTGTTTATTTGAGCCACTGTAAATGAAGGTGTTTTACTTTTAGAAGGGGATCCGAGGACAGCCCAGGTTCATGCTGAAATTATAAGCCAGCGTTGAGAAATGATGCAGCAAGACAGGACGACAGGCGCCACAGCCTTCATTTACCCGCACACACCAGGCTAGGGGGCAGGGGACATGGTCCCCAAATTTTGCAAAAGATCATGTGAGTGTGTCTCTTTTCATGGGTTGCTTTTGGTGTTCAACTAAAACCGCAAAAGACGGTGGAGACCCTTAAAAACCGACACAGCCATACGGTACATCTTTTGTTTGAGGCTATCCGATGTTGGGTTGTGAAGGGCAACCAAGGGGAAAACACATCTTGCATGTTCCCGGGTTTGCTGAATTCGTGCAGACATGTTTACTAGGTCCCCCAGGATCGTGCCCTTTTACCCCCTTTTTTGGGGGAGAGTTCCCCTACTAAAATCGACTACAGAAGAAAGAAACGGTACCCTTATTCCTCTCTACTGGGGGACCTAGTTTGTGATGCGCGCCCAGCGAGTGGATGGATCTCCACGGAAACGATCATTCGACATGTGTTCTTTGCCTCCCGCTTCCCCATTCCACCAAAGAATGGAACAAAACCAAAGGTACATATCAACCACCGCTAAAACGGACTTCCAAGTTGTCCCGGACCCTCAAACTGCCCGTAAACAAGGCATATCACCCCATTTTTTTCAGGGGGGAAGGGGCAGTGACCCATTTTTTTTGATAAGTTTGAGGATCCAGGTTCGGGGATAGGGACACTTTGGACGCCTAGGTCCGGCGGCCCTTTGGGCCACTTGCTGCGAGAGACAGCGGACGCCAGGCCGAGGGTATCCACGTTGGACGCCTGGGGCAAATTTCTGCGACCGAATATCACTCAAATGGTGGTTTAATGTTGACCCAGGATTAATAAACCTGTCCCATCATTAGGGGGGTGTTCCCTCCAAAAGTGATAAACCCCCACGAAAAGGGGACACCCCCCTATTAATCAACCAGGGGTTTATTAATCCGGGGTTGACATTATGTGGGGAATAGCTCCCGTTTTCACCTGATTGCTGGTTGGTGAAGCATTATAAGTCACCCAGAAATGTGTTTCAGCAAGCAGTGACCCTGGTTGCCTTTGCAGGGACACTACAACTTGGCGCTTCCCAGCCGTCCAGTTCCTTTTTTTGGCTTTTTCGGAGTTTACCCACTGAGATTTCAACTTTAAGGAGGGGATCTGAGGACAGCCCAGTTGAAACAATAGTGCATAGTGCATAGTGCATGCCTCTGGCACACACACACACACTCATTTGTTCAAATCACTGCAGTGATGTAAACAGCTGATTCATCACGGAGTAGCGCTCCATCTCTTGGGCATAGCGCTGCAATGTGGCATCTTTCTGAAGGTTTCTCCTTGTAAATCCTTGAGGATGATTCTTTCGTTCAGTGACCCTAGGTGAATATCACCCAGACTGTCGCACTTCCTCAGTTGGACTTTGGTCAAGCTTCGGGTTTGGGGCCACTGGCAGTGTGGGCGCGATCACGCTGAGCGGAATAGAGAGGCTTAATGTTAGCCCCGGATTAATAAACCCCAGGTTGATTAATAGGGGGGTGTCCCCTTTTAGTGGGGGTTTATCACTTTTGGAGGGAACACCCCCCCTAATGATGGGACAGGTTTATTAATGCTGGGTCAACATTAAGAGGAATTTCAGGAAGTGAGCCTTCAGTGGATGGTTGCGAAATCCGTTCGCACCACTTGGAGCCCATGAAAACATCATTCCATAAATTCTTAGGTGCATAATTTTATCCGTCCACAGTAGGAGGAGGATAGGCAACAGGTTTTTGTTTGTTGTTTCAGGCTTCTGACGATCAACATGGCGATGTGTCACGGGTCAACAGTCCGTTCAGATGGAGATTCCAGCAGTGCTGCGATTGTGATGGATCAGCATCGGTTCCTGCGAGGAATCTTGCAAGGAAAACGGCACGCCTCCTTCTTACAATGACTTTGACCGTGATGCGCACGCCCCGTTTACCGAAGAGTTGCTTGGCAAATGCGCATGTCAGTCATGGTTGCAGACAAAATGCAGTTCAACTTGACATCATGGGACTTGGCACCGACGTAGTGGAGCATGCTGGAGATATGAAAGCGTATCATAAAGCGCACTAGCCGGCTGCACAGGTGCCAAGAAAGGTTATGCATGATGACCAACACATCACACTGATGTGGGTCTACTTCCGCACAACTTAACAACATGGCTTGCCCCAACAGGGTGGTCCCCCCAAAGGAGATACAGAATCCTGAAACTACCCGTGAAAACGGGTGATTGCAACCCCCAAAGTATGGGATGGTTTCCCTTTTTAATGGGTAGTTGGAGGCTCCAGGTCCCTGAATTATGAGATATGGGTCCCTGTCTTTGCTTCGGTCTCACTGCCTCGTTGCCGTAACGGCGACCCGGACCTTCACAGTTCCCAGAGAACGCCTTTTGCCAACCTTTGGGTCTGGGTCAAAGTTAGCACACCAGGATACGGTTTTTGAGAAATATGGCTTGTCAAGCCTCCGCACTGAAATCGCCCCCCAAAAATCGCCGGGCTTGGAGGGCCATGTTCATTTGGAGCCTCGAACCCTCCGCGAGGTGCGTGTTCCAAGCCTCCGACCTCAGCGGGGAGGCCACTTCGGCGCCATGGGCGCGGAAGCCCGGGGGTTTTGGGCGGGGTCGCGTGGGGTTTTGGGCGGGGTGAGCTGCCTGTGAGTGTGTGTTGCGGTTACCCGCGTGTGTTTTGGGGCTTTTTGGGGTCGCGTTTTTTTTCTTTTGTGATCTTTCTTTTCTTGAGGTGTTTTTTATTTTTCTTTCTTCTTTTTTTTTTGGGGGGGAAAAGAGGTTACTAGTACCTGGACCCCAACCAGAATTCCTGTCAAAGGGACAGGTTTAGGGGGGCTTTTTCCAATGGGTGGTTTGAGGGTCCAGGTACCATGTTGGTATTGTTGGAAACGGAAAGCAAAAGGGAGAAGCAACGGTAGGGTGGTTTGAAGCGATAGGACGGTTCGCCCCAACGGCACCAATGCCAACCTTTCTGGTGTTTGTAGGGTCGATTTGATCGGGGTGCCCGAGCCGCGGTTACAAAAACACCTTGTCCAAATACCAAACCAAAAATAACAAGACATCCAATCAAAGAGAAATAAACGTAACATTGGCGCGAGATCGCGACAATATGATTCACACTTATGAGATTGTGTTGGATGCAATTGGCCAAGACGACAATTCAACGAACCAAAAAAACAAAAACAGACACCTGCATTGTGCCATGTCCAAGCTCGCGTTTGCTGGGGACATGGGATTGTCCTTGTTAAGGGTAATTCCCTTGTTATTCTTGTCGTTTTTTTTGAAGGGGAACCACAAGGACCACCCCCTAAGAAAGACACATCCATACCGTCAATGCACGAAATCCGTTCGCACCACTTCAAAACCTTGGGAAAGTATCGTTCGTCGGTATTTACAGCGAAATCAGCGTTCCAGGGATTCTTAGGTGGTGCGAAATCGATTTCGCCCATCCACCGTATGACCCATAAATCTGGTTCTTTTTCGTGCCATTTGCCGCGCCAGTTGCTTTTTTCCAGATGCGTTGCCAGTGGTTTCCTCTGGGCGTCGGGGCCCTCCCCCAGAAGGAGTAGG